TAAAAATAATATTTAATGCTAAAAAATAATATTTTAAACTTTTAACTATTTAATTTTACTTACCAACACCAGATGTCTATCTTTTATTACTTCATTTAAAGTGCCTGTCATATATGTTTTATATACATATAAAACTTTCGGTACCAAGTATAGTAGATCAAAAAATGAAAAATCATTATTGATCTGTCGATATAGTCTAAAAAAATGTTCATATCCTTCAGATCCATGAAGCCAAGGTAATAATAGATAAGAAGGATAAAAATTACGATATGATATAATTAAAAGTATCTAATAAAATAAATAAATATAATATTTTAAAAACTTTAATAATTCATAAATATTAATTATTCTTACTAATGATTCAGCCAAACTTATTAAAATATTTAATGTTTGTGTAGCAGAAAATTCTTTTCGAAGCTAATATAATTAAGGTTTGCTAATTTAGCAGATCTAATATAAGATCCCCATATTTTAATAAAAAAATAAGCCATCATAACCATACGAGCTCTTTTCAAATGAGAAATTGTTCTGTTTTGATATGCATCAATCAATTCGCCTAATTAAATATAAAAATTAAATTAAATAAAAAAATTAAAAATAGATATTAACTTAATAAATTTATATTAAAAAATTTTTTTGCGCTTAAACTACTAAACATTATTATTTTAAAAAAAATTATTAATATAAATTATTAATAATATACCAATTACGAACAAATAAATAAAAAGCCCATATCGATTATTTTCAGAAATATTAGAATCTAAAACTTGATTAAGAAATGAAAAACAAAAAAGACGATAACTAGCCCCATCATTCTGATGATCACAATTAATAACATTCTTTTTATATAAAACACTATCAGGTTGCTTACATAAATCTAATATCTGATTATACATTGCTATATAATGTCCTAATGTTAATAGTCGTACTTTAGAAAATAATGCATTTCGAGCAGATTTTTGAGTATATAATGAATCTGAAACTTGAATAACTGGACCAACTCCAGAAAAACAGAGCAGCTAAAATTTATGTTATACACTGAATCACTAAAACTAATTGTTTGTTCAGTATCTTTGGCCATTAGATATTTTTGTACATTAAATTCTGAAATTGCTCCATCAGCTCCAACAAAAACTATATAAATAAAAATTTGTTCTGCTATTTCTAATACTTGTTTATGCATTTGTAAAATTTGTACTGAGGTTTCATTACCATTATTCAGAATCAATCTAACTACAACTGGTGGAAACTTCGGTAAAGGTATTTTAAAATTTAGAATTTGATCAAAAGTTAATCTTAAAGAACCTTTATGATTGATATTAATAATAAAAAAATTAATATATAGTTTTAAGTGCTAATATAATATAAAATATATCTTATTTTAAAATATCTATAAATGATTTTATTTTGCTTATCTTTTGCAAAATATAATAGATAGTAAATATAAATACTCACTTGAAGTAAATATAAATGAACTTGTTTAGCAACTGCATTATTTGAAATTATATTTTGGATTATCAATTTTACTTCATTATAATCTTCAACATAAGTTTGTTCAAGTGGAAGAGTAGATCCAATGATATATCCAAGATTTGCAGAATAGCCAAGACAAGGATAAAGTTTAATATTATCAGTCATTGCAATAACTGGTCTACTATAGTTTATAGAATCAGCTAATCTTTTAAAACGTGCCATATTTTCAAAACAAATACTTGAACTATGTATAAATTCTCCTGATTTTTGATGTAATAGCCTATATAAAAAAGTATTGTTTAAACTTATTAATTAATTAATATAAATCTCTAGTAGCAAAAAATAGCTCTATCACTATTTTTTTATAAGGTTCTTATAAATTAAACAAAATAACAACTTAATATCTAATATTTCGCAATGTTGGTCCTGCTAGGTTTGTTCAAAAACAATCATATGTCTTCAGACTAAGGCTAGAAAGTACTGCTATAAAATGAATAAAATCTTTAGAGTATTTTAAATTCTAAACACCTTTACTATGATCCTCACGTTGTGCTATTTGTATCATAATCTCACATAATCTTTTAAATGTAGTTTTGGATTCAAATGCTTTGCTTAAGCCTTTTTCAGCCAATTTTAGCTAAAATAGTATTAAATTCCAAAGTTCCTTTATATTTAGATCTCCAAAAAATTTAAAAGTAGGTTATTTTTAAAACACAATTTTGGTGTAAATCATCGATTGTCTGGTTTTGGTATAGGTTTAGAAATTGCATTCTAAAAAAAAAAAAAATTTAAAAGTTTAAAAATCAATAAAGTAAAAAATTTAGATGATTAAGCTTTTACCTTAAACACTAGATTCTTTGTAAGTAAAATACATTTTGCACACAATTGTTCAATTTGATATATATAAATTTCACATACTGAACTATGTATGCATAAACATTCCTGGTCTATCTTCCACTTAGACCTTGCTAATAACTTATTGTTAAGTCTTTTTGATTAATCTAAGTAAGCTTATTATAAGAAAATTTTGTCTTTTTTGTAAACTTTTTTGGAAAAAGTTCTTGTGCTATTTCTTTAATAGGTGGGGCTTTTCCAAAAATCGTAAAACCACCAACTCGTTCAATATATGTGAGGTGTTTTTCTTCATGTAAACCAGAGCATGGATATCTTCTATAAAATGGCAATTCATTTTGAGAATTAGAATTTAAAAAAAATTCTTTTAAATCTCAAAATCCTTTGTTTTTAATACATGAACTACTAGAAACTTGAGATTCAATTCGTGATTTCTCATAATTTCTTTTTAATTTGATTTGTTTTTTACAATGTTTACAATGCACACACAATAGATTTAATATTTTTAGCACATCAGGATGATTAGCCAGCTCAGCTTGCTAAAATTACAAAATAAGGTAGTTATATACTAATATAACAGGTGCTATTAGCAAAAACCAATCTTCAAACTTATAAAAGTTGTAAGTGCTATTTATATCTTTTTTAAAACAGTCTCTGAATTCATACCACGAATTTGCTTTTTTTTTAATGTTTGTTTGCTTGAAACTACTGGCCTTGAATACTCATTATCAGTTGTTTCATAGTTGTCAGATGTCTCATAATAATCTTCAAGATTTAAAATTTTACTATCAGATTGTAAAGACTCAACAGAATTAGGTAGTAAATCCATCAGCAAGCTTGAATATAACAAAGTCTTTAATCAAACTAATCTTGGCCGAAGTGAACCTTTAAAAATTCTTAATTATGATGAAATTTTTGATCACAGCAAAACTTTTGGCTATAGTAAAACTTCTGGTTATGGCAATAGCGAACTTTTAACTTTAATTTTTACTAGACAAAACTTTTAGCCAGGTAAAACTTTTGACCAGGTGAAAGTGGCTAGGTGAAACTTTTTGGCCAGGCGAAACTCTTGGGCAGGCGAAACTCTTGACCAGGCGAAACTTTTTTATTAGGTAAATCTTTTACTAAGTGAAGCTTTTTACTGAGCAAAACTTTTGACTACAATTAAACTTTTGATACGACAAAGATTTCAGCAATAAAAAAAAACTTAAAATATCGTAACTATAGCAAAATCTGGTATGTACAGTATTTTATTACAAATCTGATTTGTCAATCAAATTTTGAATTTTATATAGTTGTAATAACTAGAAACGTAATTTCAAATTTTGACCTGCACTAAGCCTAATGCAGACCAAATTTCAAATAGTATTCCTGTACAAAATATCCATTTTTATAACTACAGATATTTATTTTAATAATATTATGTCTATTTTAAATATTGTCTTTTATTCTACCAATTCTGGTTTTAACATTGTAGGTTTAGAGAAAAGCCTTTTTAAATATATAACCTTATGAAAAATTTAAAAATTTTTGTCCTGTTTAATACTCTCACCTCTATTAGAATTATCTGGGGTCCTAGCTAAATAAATATTAAATAACTAATTAGAATAATATAGCCTAGTAATAGGTTGTAATATTATATATATTCTTATGAGTATATCTAATAAAGGTTTTGCCAGCTTTTCTAGCCAAGTTTAAAAAAAAAAGTATTAAATTTTATAAATTTATAAGATTTCTTTATTAATACAAAAAAAATTTTATATATTAGTATAATTTAATTTGTATATTTTTAAATAAAAAATTAACTATAAATTTTATATTTAAAATTTTATAAAAAAAGCAAAAATACAATAGTAACCCATTATTAGTATTAATTTTTTAGTTAAAATTTACTATACAGATATATATATGCTAACAAAATTATTTTGGGTCTAAAACCTGAAATTAAAATTTGAAAATGAAATTGTTTTTGATCTATTTTACTTAAAAGACAATTTTTGATACTTTTTAAAGAAATAAAATTATAAGGAATATAACTACCTAAATTAGATTTGCTCTTGTATATAAAAAATTTTAATTTGCTCTAATAAAGACAAAATAGGGTTTTTTGGAAACCTATTTTGGTAGCATATATATATGGATGCTATATAATTTAGAAACTTTTCTGTATAACAAATAAAGAAAAACTATAACCAACTTTTTACAAATATATACACTACTTACAAAATATTAATTTTTTGTATAATATTTGCATATCTGTTCAAAAGAAAATATGTACAAAATTTTGTTTTTGTGTGCTGTGCATAGTCCGCATAGTGAAAAATAATTACTGCCTATCACTATAGAGACCTCTATATGATTAACTAATTATATTCAAAATTAGCGCTTATATATAAATAATAATTATTATTGTTTATTTTATACTTATGCTTTTTTGTTTTACTTTTTTTAAATTTTTTTTATTTTTTTTGTTCTTCATTTTCTTCTTTTGTATTTCTTTTTTTTCTATCTTTCTTTTTACTTTAGTTTTTTATTTTTTTTATTTTTTTCTTATTTCTTTTATTTACTTCATCTTTTTTGTTTCTTCTTCCATTTTTTACTTTTTTTGTCTTCTTTTTTTTGTTTTTTCTTTTGTTTTTCAATTTTTTTGTATTTTTATTTTTATTTTTTTTAGCCTTTATTTTTTCACCCTTTTTTAATTCATTTTTTTTATTTCTTCTCTTATCTTTTATTTCTTTTGTTTTCTATTTTTCTGTTTTTTTTTTCTTTTGTTTTTTGTCTTGTTTTTTTTGTTTGTTTTTTTGTTTTGTTTCTTTTGTTTTATTTCTTTTGTTTTGTTTCTTTTGTTTTGTTTTTTTTGTTTTGTTTTGTTTCTTTGGTTTTGTTTCTTTCATCTTTTTTTTGTACTTTTATTTTTTCAGCCTTTATCTTTTCTCTTTTTTTAATTCATCTCTTTTCTTTTTTCTTTATTCTTTTTCTTTTGTCTTGTTTTTTTTGTCTTGTTTTTTTTATTTTGTTTTTTTTTGTTTTGTTTTTTTTGTTTTTTTTTGTTTTGTTTCTTTTATTTTGTTTCTTTTATTTTTTTTTTTTATATTATTTTTTTTTTTGGCCTTTATCTTTCTTCTTTTTTTAATTTGTCTTATCATTTTTTTAACTTTCTTTTTTTTTTATTATATTTTTTTTATTTTGTTTTTTTATTTTATCTTTTTTTCTTTTATTATCTCCTTTTGCTTTTCTTTTTTTTTTTTTAATATATTGGCAGCCTCATCAGTATTTTTATTAGATCAAAATAAATATATATAGCATCCTATAACTATCTAAATTATAGATCTGATATCACTCAACTTTCTCTTAAAGTGTTCAAATATGGTCTGTCTTACTAGTTAAAGCTATTGTCTGCTCTGGGGGCTGCATTAAACTAGCTGATAAAACTATAAAAAATGGTTTTGATTTAAAGAAATTTTTAACTACATTAAATTGGCAATCTTCCCTTTCTAAACTATCCTCCTCTTTATAATAAACTAAAGCTAATTTTCTATTAACAAAAAATTTCATCTTCTTTCTCAATAAGAAGTTATTACTAGAAACTTTTGTTTGGATTTGTGTTTTCTTTTTCTCTTCTTTCAATTAAATCTATTCTTTTTAAACAGGATCAAGCTTTCCAGACCTTATATTTTATAGCTTTATAGTCTTCTTCTATTTCTTGAAGGCCTTTTCTGTAAGTCTTCTCTGAAGGTATTTTTTTATAAGCTTTCTTTTCTTCAAAAAACCTTGGGTCTTTTTTGGGTTTTTTGTTTCAAGAACTTGAATAGTTCACCCAGAATTATCTTCTTCTGTATTTTGGGTATAGAGGTTTTCTTTTTTTTACTTTTTTAACTTCTTTTTTTTCTTTTTCTTCCTAAGCTTTGGTTTTCTTTTTAAAAATTTCTCTTGAATTTCACTAAATATTTTTTGGTTTTCGAGGATTTCTACAAAAATCTTCTCTAATATCCTTAATAAAATATCTTTTTTCTTCTTTTTTAGTTCTTGGTTCCTCTTTGTTTATATGTTATTGTATCTTGAATCGAATTTATATCAACATTTCTTTGGTTCTTTAGACACCATATCCACTTTGCAAACAAATCTCTCTTTTTAATTTTTTATATTCTACTATTGGATTGTGAGTCTTTAATGCTTATCTGGTTTATTACTTCAAACAACCATTTAGCTAGGTCTGTTACTTCAAACTTCGGTTTTGACTCTTTTTAAATTTTGCTTAGAGCTTTTGACTCGATAGTG